AGGGGTTGCCCAATTCATAACAGTAGCAAAATTACAGTTCTGAAGTAGCAATGAAAATAATTTTATTGTTGGGGAGTCAGCACATGAGGAAGTGTGTATTAAAGGGTCGCAGCATTAAGAAAATCGAGAACCACTGATCTCCATCATAGGTCCCTAAAAAATTATGCCCTCCTGGCAGTGAAAACCTTAGTATTATACCCTATAATCCAGGATAAAGTGTAGGCATCTGCTTTGGCAGCACCCCTGGATTGTTCCAGTACCTCCTAGGGGCTAGTACTTGGGAAACACTGGTCTAGTACGTGATACAGGCGCCAATCTGTGAGGCCATCACAGGTATCGTCGGTGAGCTGACAAGACTAGTGTATGGATTCAAAAGAACCGCCGCACCATTAGTGGAGATAGAAAAGTGTAATCATATGATTGGGAGGGGAATTTTCCTTTTCAAGGTTAGCATGGAGAGTTAGAGGTGCTACAGCCAAGGTGTAATGTTTTGCAGTCAGCCCCTGGCTGATGCTGAGTGGAGATGAGACTGGGGGAGCTACTACCATTGTTACCATTTACAGTTGCAGACTGCTCAAGAGCACCAAGAATTCAGGCGTCCTTCATCGGCCAGATGATGACACAGAGGTCAGGCAATGACATGACTTGGTTAGGGTCCCACAGGATCTGCTCGCAGACCTTGGGCTCCCTGAAATTCTCGTCTAGGGTTCTCTGAAGGTGTGAGAGTAGGTAGGTAGAGGGGAGAACTCTTTCCCACAAAGTGAGAGTCGGAGGGGCTACCTTGGAGAGACTAGCTGGAAGGCCGCTACCCTCCACAGTGCTGTGAGCAGTGAAGAGATGGAGGACGGAGAATCAGGGACGTGCTTGGTGGATTGAAGCCAGCGGAGAGAGAAGGGCAGCCTGGGGTCAGACATTTTTGGTGACTGCCGTGGAACTGATTTCAGATTCCAACTCGGGCAACTTCATGTCAGAAGAGTAGGACTGCCTTAAAGAGCTTGGCTTGTTCTCTTTTTTATTTGAACCTTGGATTGTGGTTTGGGTGAAAGTCCACAGAACAAATTAGTTTCCTGTTCCATCATTGTGTCATTACTTGCAATCCCCGCAATGGAAGAACATTCTTCCCACTTCCTCCCTGGGTTCCCTGTTCCCATCCTTTTCTGCCGTGACCTGCCTTCTGACCTTCACTTTTGGTCGCATGTGGTTGATTTTTCTGAAGAGTACATCCTCGCGGATGCTCTGGTTCACCTTATAGGCCTGTCTATTGTTTGCCTCGAAAGTTATCTCTGGGAATGGGCTTGAGTCCAGGTGTGAACCGTGTGTAATAGCCAGAGCCTACAGGGCATTACCAGTCTTGATCAGATCAGTAAGTCTGGCCTTTTTCATGATTTTGGATTTTGTTCTACATGTTTCTCCCATGCTGTCCATGGTCTTTGCTGTGAACCCAGTCAACGTAGTTGATCTTGGTCGCTTGGCACCATCTAGTTCTTCTGGTCTCTGGCTAGTGGAGGCTGTGGTTTGCATCGTTCATTCCAAGGGTTTTCAAAGCATGGACTTTCTAAAGCAGCCCACCAGACTTGTCTTCTGAGGATCCTGCTAAGTAGATTGGAACTGCCAACCTTTCAGCTAATAGTTGAGAGTTTAAACTGTTGTTTCCACCCAGAGACTCACTAAAGGCAGGAGAATGGCAAGAAAATAGAGATCTTATGAAACGTCAACTCAAACAGCCTATCCATGCCATGAGGAGGATTATTGTGCACTCATAAAATATTGATCCTGAATATATATATATATATATATATATACAGTGAACCCTCGCCACTTCGCGCTTCAACTTCCGCGGCTTCACTCTATCGCGGTTTTTGTGTAACAGCGCATGCTCTGTCATTACTGCCACTGAGTGGCTCATACTGTACATGCTTGATGCCATAAATAATATAATAAATAATAAATGATAATTGTAATGTCCAAAATGTTTTACTGTATTTTCCCTTTTTCGTTTAATAAATTGGGTAATACGAGTGTAATGGTGACTAAAGGGTGTTTTTTCATGTCCTCTATGCTCTAACTACGAAAATATTTGATTTACAAATAAGGAATCCTACTTCACGGAATTTCATTTATCACGGTAGGGTCTAGAACCGATTAACTGCGATAAACGAGGGATCACTGTATATATATGAGTGTTTTACTAAACCATCCATCAGTTGGTGTAAATATCACCGATAAGAATGATTCCAATTATTTCCTAAATCCATTGTATGAAGAAAAGAAATCTCGGTATATACATCTTATAATTTCACAACATATTTTTGAATTTATATCTAATTTTTCTCTATTTCCCATACCAGTCACCTGAAGAAATTGATAAGGAGAACGTTCACATGTCTGACTCAGAAAGGAAAGTGGACCCAGCTGAAGAAGATACAAATGTGTACACGGAGAAGCACTCAGACAATCTGTTTAAACGAAAAGAAGTCCTGGCAGGTGACTAGCAGGGTGGGGCTCAGGTGGGGAGGTGGGCCTTACTTACCTTGATCTGGGTCAGAGCAATACTCAGCTGTGTCTGCAGACAAAGCTTGCTGACTGTCATCTTTCTACTGAACAGAATCTTGGGTGTCCTCACCCCAGTGTGAGGGGCAGGAAGTTAGACAAAGACTCTCTTTATTGGGGTGGGGAAGGCCTACTTCTTGGCTAGCTGTTATGTGGGGGCAGAGGTGAGGCAGTCTAGAAGGGGACAGCTAAGATTTGGGAGGCATGTGAGCAAAGGAGGGTGTGTGTGTGTGTGTGTGTCAACTGAGCTGGGAGGCATGTGAGCAAAGGGGTGTGTGTGTGTGTGTGTGTGTGTGTGTGTGCGCAGTCTTGCTCCAAGCCATCCCCGATTTCAAAGGAAACTTATGAGAAGGAAAAGATCTTTTATTTTCCCCATGGAAAGGAAGGAGGAAACAGATAATGCCCAAGGCTATAAGAATGTAGTCTCTTATTGTAACTTAATCTGATAGAAGTATTAACGTTTGATTTTAAAGGGGACGATTTATAAAATTTAAGAGCACCCAATTCTTTTTGTTCCACTTTATAATGCTTTCCAAAAATATTTACTTATGTATTTTTAATAGACACAGCAGAACACCCATCGATTCAGCCATCTCTGTGTGTACAATTCCGTGAAATGGGGGGCATTGTTTAAGCTGTACAATCATTCCGAACCTATCCAACTTTTCAGGTGGATGTTATCAATTTGGTTCAACGCAGATATATATGTATATATATTTTAATAGCTCACCATGTTCCAGGCAGGCATTTAAAAAAATTAATTAAGGTAAAATTAATTAAGGTTAAGATTTCATTTTTCAAAGACTTCAGGGGATGTATTTTATTCCATATCTAAAAGTTATCTTTGGATAGTAGTTTGGGGAGTTTCTCCAGTATTCTCTGCCCTTTTCCTTGTGAGTCTTCTATGGAATCGTGGATCAGATGTTTAGTAATGGCAGCTGGGCACCATCCTGGGCTTCTGGCAGGGGAGGCAGTTGCTTGAGGAGACAACTAGCCACTTGTTCCACATCCTGCTTCGATTTCGTACTATGCTTCTTCCTCTGTTTTTCAGGCAGGTAAAGATCTAGGATAGCTAGTAGGGCACGTAATTTTTATTTCATTTTTACAAGACGTCTTACCATGAATTAGGTCAGGGTTTACAGAGCAGGCCCTTGTTTCACAGTCAACAATTCGTACACATGCTGATTCAGCTCATTTACTGGGCACCAAATGCTTGATAGCGCCAAGCCAAAGACTAGAAAAGTGTTTTCCCCCTATGTACACTTGAAAATGTTCATGAACCCACGCTCTCCGTTTCGCTGAGAAGATCAGAACATGAAATGTGAGCACTGAAAAGCTGAAAGGCGTTCTGCAGGACGGGATTCGTTGCAGCCACAGCCAGGTTCTTGTTGAAGCTTTCGGGTGATATTATTAATACCAGTCAAAGGCGGTTTTGTGCCTTCCTGAGGAATGTCAGATTTGCATAATTACCCGGTTGCCTCATTGAATTCAAGTTTTAAAAAATTATTATTACTAATTGTGGGGTTTCTGAATTAAGCCTTTTATTAAAAGCATGCCTCGATTGGGCCTGCCGGAGTGGGTTTCTGTGACCTTGATGCTCCCGTCTGAGAGCAAGCGTCCCTTTGGTGTGTTTCAGCTGTGATTGCGGGCGGAGTCATTGGCTTCCTCTTTGCGATCTCCCTCATCCTGCTGTTGGTGTACCGCATGCGCAAGAAGGACGAAGGCAGCTATGACCTCGGGGAGCGCAAACCGTCCAGTGCTGCTTATCAGAAGGCACCTACCAAGGAGTTTTATGCATAAAACTCCCACTTAGTGTCTCTATTTATGAGATCACTGAACTATGAAAAAATAAAGCTTTTGCATAGAATAATGAAGATCTTTGTTATTTTGTTTTGTTTTTATTGTTCATTAAAGAGCCCTTCTGGCATCTTAATGAGAAATCCCCTTGTATTTAAAACTCTTCATGTATTTCTTTAGAACCACGTAAAAATGGAACGTTAACATCTGCAGTGTTCTGTGAATAGCAGTGGCAAAATATTCTGTTACGCAAGCTCGCAATGTTCGTGGAAGCGTTGGAAAACCTTTAAGGCAAAGTGATTGTTTTCATCCTAAAGCTGTTTCGTTTTGGTTGGCCTCGTTGGTCCTCATTAATTTATCTGTTGTTTTCCTCTGTGTCCCTTCCCTTTGTCCCCTTAAAACAAAAACTAAAAACCAACAACAACAGCAACGAGAAAAACTCTATGCCTTTTGTAGTTGTACTGGTGCGATTTGTCTTTGGATAATTCCCAAAATGGTAATTCAGTGTATATGTGATTTTTAAGTATGTAAACTTTAACCTCCACTTTGTATACATTTTTAAGTGTCAGACTATCCATTTTACACTTGCTTTGTTTTTCATTACCTGTAGCTTCGGGCAGATTTGCAACAGCAAATTAATGTGTAAAATTGGATTTTTACCACAAAACTGTTCAGTCCTATCTATCTTGATCAGATCTTCTTTGGGAGGATTTGATGTGAGTTACTGACAGGTCTCAGCAAACCCAAAGATGCTAACAGTATTTCCAGAAGTTGCTGCAGATTCCTTCGGCCACTGTATTTGTTAATTTCTTGCAATTTGAAGGTACGAGTAGGGGTTTAAAGAAAAACAAGTTTTTGTTCTTAAAAATGCATTTAAATGTCTTTTTAAGCCTTTGAAGTGCCTATGATTCTATGTAACTCGTGTCGCAGACTGGTGTTAATGAGTATAACAGTTAAAAAAAATTGGTATTTTATAAGCATAGATAATTCTAATAGTAACTTTTGTAGTCTTACAAATAGACATAAATTGTAATTTGGGAACATAAAAACTACTGAATAAATCATGTGGCCTAATATTGAAAATGTCACTGTAATACATTTTGTACATTTTTGGGTCAAATGTACATCCTCCCTTTGCTAAGACTGTCTGCTTGCCAGGGTGACATGGGTTTGACTTCTGAGTGTCCCCGGTTATCTGTGAATCAAGACCAAAGAGACCTTCGATGAAGCTGTTTCTTGAAGCTGTTTCTTACCAGATTCTCTTCATAACTGGCCAGAGGGGAAATGAGAGTGTGGCCTCTCTGTGTGTCTGGGTAATGGCTCTGGAAGACTGCCAGGGGAATTGGGGAGTGTGCATCCTTTAGAGCCTCGCTGGTGGCAATATTAAGACAGATGCCTGCTTGTGCAAATAACATTTAAGACTATAAATTTCAACAGCTGAATGGTCCCCCCGCCCCCCGAGTGTAGATAGCGAAGCTCCATCGTATATTGACATATCTTTGCTCCAACCCTCTCCCAGCTCGGGAGGGCAGAGGAAAAGGCAGGGAGACACTGTACACTAAAGGAGGACCTTGCTGTGCCTGTGGAAACTTCTGGAAAATAGTGAGGCTTAAGGAGGGCCAGAGACATGGGCAGAGACCCCGGTGGGTGTTCCTCCGACATGAGTATTTCCTTGTTCGGCTTTATCATTGGATGGTACAAATGGTGCTTAGCATGCTCAGCTGTTAACCCAAAGGGTGGAAGTCGGAGTCCACCCCGAGGTCTCCCAGAGGAAGGATCCTCAGTGTCCTGAGAAAACCATTGCACGCTGGCCCACACGAGGTGGCTGTAAGTGAGGCTCAGTGACTCGGCAACTGTGTCTGCTTGCTTGCCGCTTGCTTTAACTCTGCCATCGTCAACTGTGGGTTGCCAAAGTAGGAAGAAGACACCCAAGTTAAAAAGGTGTAACTTCTCCCCACCTAGAATTTAGGAAAACACAGAAAGGGCTTTGCTTCTAGAACATTCTCTTGGAATTGCCGCAGAACAAGCTTTCAGTTGTGTTTTTAAGGCAACACAGGGAACCTGGTGGACAGCACCTAAGTTCCCAATGGCCTAATTCTCAGGGCCCTCTTCCCTCCCTGACCAGAGTCCAGCCACATAATTAAGACTGATTCGGAGGAAGCGGCAGGCTCTTCCCAAGTGTCGCCATCTGCGGAGTGCACGAGCGTAGTATGTGGGGGCTCACTCTCCACATATTACAATTCAGTCGGAGAATAACAGCTGCCTGGAGTCTCCACATCAGGAAAAGAAAATTTCTGGCAAATATTTTGTCACTGCTGTAAAGCGAAGGATTTGTTAAAGTGCCAAGAGAAAGGCTGTCGTGCTGAAAGTAGACATGCATTGTATAGACTGACATCAGTTTTCTTCAACTGTATGTTCGCTGCTTAGTTTTTTTTGCTTTTTTTCTTTTAAGATGCAGTAAATAATACTATAAAAAGTGTTAGTGTTGATTACTGAGTTCAGGAAATTTGGGGTAAAATATAAAGATTAAAGCTGATGTGAAAATGTCCTGCTTCCTTAACCACACGTAAATGGTTTCCTCTGTGTGAGTGGCGTTGTGTACGAGGCATGCAGTATATTTAGACTGTCCCGTTGTCAACCTATGCGGAGAAATGGGATAGGTAGTTGTGTGTGTGTGTGTGTGTGTGTGACCGAAGCTATAAATCTTTACAGGAACTAGTGGTGGTCATCTTTTCCCTATGGGACTGGTGGCTTTGAACCGCAGAGGTGTCTGCCACTGACCCAACAGCACCACAGCTCCTTCTAAACCCGAAAAACAGAACTCACTGCCATTGAGTTGATTCCAACGTAAAGCGACCTTATAGGACAGGGTAGAACTGCCCTGTGGATTTCCAAAGCTATAACTCATTATGGGAATAGAAAGCCTCATTTTTTCCCTATCGGAGCAGCCAGTGGTTTCAAACCACTAACCTTGCAGTTAGCAGTATAGCACATAGCACACTATGCCTCCAGGACTCCTGGCCCCTCCTTAGAACCTGAGAATTGTGGCAATTGTATGCTGATGAGTGGGTCCTGGCCCATAGCAGCCGCATAGGACAGAGTGGAACTGCCCCAGAGGATTTCTGAGACCAATCTTTGCAGAGCAAACCACCTGATCCAAGCAGGTTTCAAACTGCTAGGCTTCCTAGCTAGCAGCTCAGTACTTAACCATTGTCCCACCAAAACTCAGAAAAAGTAAAACTAAGCAGGATCGTAAATGTTGTCATCTAAAAGTTGGTTGAGTTTACATCAACTATTTAGTGGCAGTCCTTTGTGATTGTGCACTTTTTCAGATTTAGACAACATACTCTTGCTTGTTGAAGATGCTGTCAGCTTAAAATGAGATCTGGGATTGCCGGCTGCTCCTTGCAAGAAAGAGGGGGCTCTCTGCTCCCATCCAGAGGTCCAGTCTCAGAGACTCGCAGGGGAAGCTGGATCCTGCCGGATAGGCTCGCTATGAGTTGGCATCGACTCCATGGTCGTGAGAGGGTTTTGTGAGGAGTGCCAATGAAACACAGAACGTAAGTCTCTCATCCTGTGGCCTCAAACACGTCTGTCCAGTGGTGGTTCCTGCTGGGACTGTACTAGAGTCACTTTATAGTTAGGGGTTCCTGCTGGGACTGTACTAGAGTCACTTTATAGTTAGGGGTTTGCTTCTTCAGTGTCAAACATTCTGAAACCTCAGGGAGAAAAAAAAATTAAATCATTTTATTGGGAGGTCTTACACACTATAACAATCCATGATTCAATTAGATCAAGCACAATTGTACAATTGCTGACACCATCAGTTTCAAAACATTTTCTACTTGAACACTTTGGTATCAGCTCCCCGTTATCCCCTCCCTCCCAGCCTATCCCTCCAAGAACCTTGTTCCTATCTTATAAATTATTATTATTTGCTGTATCTTACACCATGTGGGCACATCCAATGTGCCCATTCACCTACAATGCCTTCTTTCCCTCGAGAGGACATGAAAAGGAACTAGAGCAGTGGTTCTCAACCTGTGGGTCAAGACCCCTTTGGGGGTCAAGTGACCTTTCACAGGGGTCACCCGATTCATAACAGTAGCAAAATTACAGTTAAGAAGTAACAACAAAAATAATTTCATGGTTTGGGTGGGGGGGTCACCACAACATAAGGAACTGTATTAAAGGGTCGCGGCATTAGGAAGGTTGAGAATCACTGAACTAGAGGATAATTATGTGTTTCACAGGTGTTATACTGCACCCCGGATATATCATCCCTTTCATGTGGCCCTTCCATGAAGGACTGTCCAATTGTCTAATAAGAGGGTTTTGGGTCTCTGCTTTGTCTATGTATCAATTTGATTGCTTATTTTTGAACTTCTGATACCTGCTCCTTTCCACAACTCATGATCACACAAGTTGGTGTGCTGCATCTACGTGGGCTTCTTTTGCTTCCCTGCTAGGTGGCTGCTTATTAAACTTATGGGCTTTAAGACCCCAGACACTTTTTCTTTTAATAGCCAGGTACCATCAGCTTTCTTAAGTTAGAGTTCTTGGGTGGGAATACCTCGATTCTTGCCTTTGCATGAGAAAAAAGTCATGCCAAAGCCTAGTTTGTGATCCAAGTAGTTTTTAATAAAGGATAGAAGTTTCAGGCATTAGAGTAAACTGAACACAAGCCCCCCATGGCACTGCACACCCACGTGGTGGCCTGGGATGGGGGTGGGGGAGAGAGATGGAGGGCCTGGCCCCACGGGACTGCAGAGGAACAGCTGTAAAAGAAGGTGGTCTCGAAGTTCCAGTCTTTTGGGGCCTTCTGCTGGGAGGCATGGTCAATGGTACTGGTTAGCCCCATTGGCTGAATTAAGCCCACCTGGCCTAGATTGGGGCCCACCCAGGTGTACGGCCCACCTAAGTGTACTGCCTCCCTGGATCGGGGCCTGAATTGGCGCATGCCCCTTTAGCCTTTATCAGCTTCCAACTTCCTGTAGGGGCCCCCTAGGCATGGAGACGAACAACCCCCCTATCCAGTTACCTTGCACACCCATTTTGTCTTCAGGCATTATTAGAACAAACTGCGCTTGTACTGAGGTAAGATTTATAAGTAGAGGCCCAAAGTCCCTCTGCTTCCTTGCTGTCGTTACACACACACACACACCTATCTTTATACATTTATAAATATACATATCTATATTTATACCCATTACTTTCTTCTTCTTACCTCTTTTTCTTTTTTCTGCCCTCTTCCCCCATTATCATGGTCACCCACCTTTCACCTCTCAGTAATTCCTCTCAGATACCTTTCAATCGATCAAACATGACCAGGAACGCTACGACCTCCTCACTGTCCGTTTTAGATCCTTGCTAGTTCCCTGACCCTGTCGTTATTGGTTGGCTGCTCTCTTCCTCTCCACCTCCACCCTTCCTATGTCCCCCCCTCAACCATCAGTCCTGTTGTTGTCTCTGTGGACTGCCTATCTGCCTGTCTTCTAGAGAGAGACATCGGAAGAAAAGCAAAAGAGAAGGAACAAGGAAAGGCCATTCAAATAGTTCCCAGTCTGCTATCCTGACCCTGAGTGAGTGAGTATCTATCTGTTAAATAGTGAGCAGGCCCTGTTATAATCCATCAGACCAATCCCCCACTTTTTTTAGTCATTTTATTGGGGCTCATACAACTCTTATCACAATCCATACATCCACCGATTGTGTCGAGCACATTTGTACATTCGTTGCCCTCATCATTCTGATGCCCTGGCATCAGCTCCTCATTTTTTCCCCTTTCCGCTCCCCCCTCCCTCATGAGCCCTTGATAATTTATAAATTATTATTTTGTCATATCTTGCACT